ATGCATGTTCAGGAAGATGTTTATTGAAAACCACTTTTAAATAGAGCTTTAAAAGATTTTAAAATCGATTTCAAGTGGTTTCATTATGCCCTCTCCAAATGTTTCAGAGCTACTTCAAATGATGGAAAAAATGTCTTAGGATTTGAAGTAGGTGGTGGGTATATTTTTCAACACCCAGATTAGGACACATGATCTGAAAAATACAACTGTAATTTTGGGAATAATAGAACCAAATGTTTGAATTTGGATCTGTCTGGGAAAATCAGGTCAGAACACACGTTCTCTTAGATACTAGTATATAGAAATGCCAGGTAGAGAAATTCATGATTACAACCCTTGACAATCAGGCAACTAAATCAGAATGTCTGAAGACTGCTTCGTGAAATTTACCGGCTCTTTGGAACCAGTCACATTAGAGGCTCTACCATGGGAGCCCAGCCATTCTGACAGTCTTTTATCTTTTGGCTGCAAGTAACAGACAGTCCAGGTAGCTCAAGGGAGTACAAAGTATTGAGTGGAATGCTTTGTGGGATTCTGGGATATCTCACAGGACCAAAGATAGAGTGAAATAATCAAGGCCCAGGAACAGCAGAAACCAGGATATGCCAGTAGCATGCCCTTGAGGAGCAAGGATCACAAATTCGGAGGGTCAAGTAGGGTTGAAGTGAGCTATAGTGATCTGGAGCAGTTGTTACTTCCTTCTAGCCAGTTGTTGCCATGTAAAAATCTGGCACAGTGCCACCAGGTCCAGTAAAGTCAGAATTGTGGATTGTTATTTGACATTCGCTGTTTTAAAATATTCACTAGTAATCCACATTAAAACAAAAGACATTGTAAGGGCCAAAATAAAACCATGTCTTCAGTGTCTGCTCCAAAGTGCTGCCATTAAAGTGACTCAACTCCAACATCTTGTCCTCTCTGACTTGCTTCATTCACAGTTCATGTTTCCTGGAGAGAGAATTCCATTGACCCAATCTGTGCCAAGGATCTGCTCAGACTCATTCAGCTATGACGGGAGGGCAGAGTCACTTAGCATAGGCAAGCTACTGGGGTTGTGTGTGGGGAGTTCCACCTTTACGTATAAAAAGGATCATCCTCAAGGAAAAATAATCACGACTAGCACATATTCAGTGCTTACCATGTGCCAAAAATTGATCTAAGTATTTAATGCACATTATTTCATTTAAGTTGCACAGCAAGCGAATGAGGGGACATTCTCATTCCCATATTACAGATGAGGAAACTGAGGCTCAGAGAGGTTACAAGGGATTTGCCCGAAGTCACACAGCTAGGGGTGGGAAAGCTGGACAGTCTGCTCCCTGATCCCGTGCTCTTAACTACTTCACCAAGATTTCTCCCTAACAGAAGGGGGGATTCTGAACCAGGAGGCCACTCCACTTGCTTGATTGGTGAGAAGTTTCAGGAAGTACGTGCATGACAGAGTTAGACATGAAAGGACCACAGGTCTGCCAGATTCTGACATCCAGGAAAGTGATTCTCAGGCTGGAAAAGTGGCTTGTCCAAGGTTACACAGCTCATAGCAGGATAGGGGTCCTCCAAATCCTCTGCCTTTCCACCACAGCCTCTCATTCTCAGCCAATCAGCCACAATATTCACGCCCCCTAACACCTTATCTATATTTGTGGGGGTCCCCTAAAAGCACCCTTCCATTTTTTTCATTCAGTTCAGCCTCTTAGCTGCAATTCTGTATATTCACCCTTTTATCCCAGATCAGCCTGTTATTTATGAAAATCGAGGGAAACCCTAGAACGCCTTCCAGGGCAGGAAGCACATTATTTCCCATCTGCATTACTTTTTCCGCTTGTCAGAGCTTACCAGTCACGGAGAAGAATCAGCAACTTTCCGACACTGGCCAGGAGAAGTCCAAAACTGTAAATAAGTACTCAGAGGTTAAACTCTACAGGCCAGTGTCCACTGCCGTCATTGCCACACTGTCAGGCTAACCTTGGGTTGAAAGCACATGCTTCTCACAGATCTCAGAAATGAAAAGAATGGGTTCAAGGAAAGTGCTGGTGCTTAGGCCAGCCTTGTCAACTGGCCTGGAACTTCAAAACATGTGGCAAATCTCAGGCCTGGTTGTCCATCCTGCGTGCTTTGGGGAGCTGCCCTTGGGCATCAGGTCCTCTGAGAGACGACTGTAGTGAGGAAAGGGCCTGAGAGTGGGTCAGATGGTGGAAAGCAGAGAGTAGGAGAGAGGCAGAATTGAAGTTAGGCAACCTTTTAAAAAAAATTTTGGCCATGCTGTGCAGCATGTGGGATCCTAGTTCCCCAACCAGGGATGGAACCCGGGCCCCCTGCATTGGAAGCACGGAGTCTTAACCACTGGACCACCAGGGAAGTTCTGGAGTTTACCTGCATTCTTATGTTACCCTCTTTGTTAAAGCCTCCGGAACGAATCTGTTATACTCATTCCCACCGATAGATGCTGACCTTCCCAGGGGGATTGGTGTTGTCATCAACTAACCTCACCTGGGACTCTTGTACCCCTAGACAGGTGGTGCATGAATAGACTTTAGAAAATCCAAGAATCTTCTGAAATTGTATGTGAAATGTTGTGGGTATGTGCATTTTTCTAAGGAAAGCAGTCATACATCTGATTAGATACTTAATGGGTCCAGGATATGTTTTAAAAAAATGTATAAACCACTTGGCCTGGAAGCTTTAAGGTGAAGGAATGCATTACGATTCGTGTCATTTCAGGGGCTGTGAGCTAGGGTTGGGGGTCAGGGATTTCTCCCAAAGTCCTTAAAAGCCTCATGGAACGCATGAATAAAGTCACAGAGAGTTGGCCTGGGAGAGGTAGGCCGTCTTGAAATGGACCAATAGAAACTGGAGGGTAAGGCAGTCACAGAGGCAGCAGAGATGTTGTGAGATTTGAGGGGGGTTGGAATCAAATCAAAGCCAGACATTTTAAAATAACTCGAGCAGAGGAACCAATCTGAAAGTGCTCTGCAGAACTCAGCTGAATGAGAGGGATGGGATCTGAATGGCTGGGAGCAGAAGCTGTCTTGAAGAAGACTTGTGTTTAACTGTGATATTTAATATTCCTTTGCAAGGCAAAACAGTAGCAATCAATGTGAAAGTAAGGGAGCAGCTGCTGCTTCCCAAATACTGTCAACAAGACAGAAAATGTGTGAGGTATTGTGAATAACGGCTGTAATTAAAGCAGTGCAGCAATTCTGGTAGGATAAGCAGGGCTCCCAGGGTTATGATTATCACGTTCAGTCTCCAAAGCACTGCCTCTGGGTGTGTGTCTCCATGTGTGCAAGTGTACGTGAGTGTACACATATGCGCACATATACCTATGTACAGAAATGTGGAGAGTTGAAAGAAAAGAAAGATAGAATCTGGAGAAAGTATCATGGGGAGGAAGATGAGATAGATGAGACTTGACTTTATGGTAGGGAATTATAAGAAAAGAGGAAAAGGGAGAAGATGAAGAAGAGAGAAAGACAGAGGAAGAGTTGGCTTTTTGCTCTGTGGGTAAAGGGTCAGCAATCTACATTACCTGACCACCTATGTAAAGTAGGTACACACACACACACACACACACACACACACACACGTAGTCATTTTCACTACATACTATTTCTTGCAATAATTTACCTCTCTTTCTCTTATTTTTCTTACTTATTTACTGCTTTCTTCATTGATTTGTACATTCCATGAGGGCAATGACCACAACTGTCCCATTTACAACTCAGTAGTAGTCAGTTTAGGCTAAGTCATGCCGCAGTAACAAATGACTGCCCAAGACAAAGATGTATTTCTTGCTCATATTTTTACATGTTGGCCATGGGTTGATAATGGTTGTGCTCCATGCATCTTCACCCTGGGACCCAGGTTCACAGAGTAGCCCTTATCTGGGATATTGGTGTTCACACAGCAGAGAGAAGACAGACCATAGTGTTATCATGCAAGGGCTCTGAAAGCTTCTGCTTGGAAGTGGCATAGTCACTTCCACTCACATTTCATTGGCCAAAGCAAGTCTCATGGCTACTCCTGAGTTGAACTGGATGGGGAGGTATAATATACCCTCAGGCATGGGTGACAATAAATTTAGACAGTAATACAATCCGCTGAATCACAGCATTCTCAGCACCTAGCACCCTGGAGCAAAGTAGATTGTCCTATCAATGGTGCTCTGTGGTCCTTGGCTATTGGGAGGTTTCGTTCTAATTTGTGATGTGAGATTGGCCATAAGAACTTCCTCCTGGTTTGCATTATTTCATATAGAAAAGTGATATTTTCTCAAGCTTATGTAATATGTAAACAAAAGCGTCTTTAGAAAAAAATAGCTCTTTTCATTGCTTTGTAGCACACAAGCCAAGTGAAAACCATGTGCTTTTTATGCAAAGGCAGCATCAAGAAAAGCCCCCTAGCTCCCTTTCAAACAGATCGCATTCTTTAAACTCCTTCGATGCAAAAATCTCAAAACCACCACTAGGTATGGTAATGGAGTGAAGGGCCAGTGGTGGGGGTGTGGGGGGCTTTGGAGCTTTCCAAACAATTCAGGGAGATGGAGGTATTGTTATTCTTTCAAAGAATAAAACTTAGGATAGTCTACGGGGAAACGCTGAACTATGAATTATCTAATAGGCCTGCCAAGCTCATTATGTCCAAAGATGAATTTCTGATATCCCCCCTCCCCCAAAACCTGCTCCACCTTAAGCCTTTTCCATTTTATTAAATGATAACTCTGTCTTTCCGGTTGCTCAAGCCAAATTGTGTGGAGTTGTCCTCGAATGTTCTTTCTGTCGCTGCTTCTCTTTCATACCCCACATCTAATTCATCAGCAAATACTGTCAGTTCTGTCTTCAAAATATATCCAGAATCTGATCATTTTCTATCATCTTCACTGCTATCACCTTGGTCTTAAGCATCGTCATCTCTTAGATGGATTATTGCACGACCTCCTCTATCAGTCAGCTATTGCTATGATGATACTGCCAAACAACCCCCAAATGTTAATTGCTTACATTTATTTTGCTTGCTCAGTGGTCTGTGGGTTGGCTGGAATGGCTCTGCTTCAGGCTGAGAGTCAAGTTCACATCCTCTCCATGAATCTCTTTATTCTAGGACCAGCAGCCAGCTGGGGCATGTTCTCCTCACAGCAGATGGCAGGTGTACAAGAGGCCAAGCTAAATCAGGCAAGCGCATTTAAAATCTCTTCTATCATCATGTCCATTGACGTTCCACTGGACATGGCAAGTCATGTGGCCACGTTCAGCAGCAATGTGGTGGTGAAATATAGTCTACTTGTTCTGGGAGGAAGTACTGCAAAGTCACATGACGAAGGGATGCATAAAGATTCTGTAACAGGAAGGGAGTGGAAAAGTAAGAACACTAATCCAATCTGCCACGCCTCCTAACTGTTCTCTTTGCTTCTGTCTTTTTCTTCCTGGAGTCTATTCTCAAGGTAATTCCCTCCCTCACCTCTTTCTGGCCTTTGCTCAGATGTCACTTTCTCAGAGAGGCCTTTCAAATTGTCACCCCCCCCCCAAAAAACCATCCCAGCATCTCTACCTTCCTTTCCTGTTTCATTTTCCTCTAATAACACTCAACAGCTAACTTGCTGTGTATTTTGCCTATTCGTTTATTGTCTGTTTCATTTCAATGAAACGTAGGCTCCCCGAGGGCACGTATTTTGGTCTGATGTGTACACTGCTGTATCTTGAGTGCCTAGAGCAGTGCCTAGCACATATTAACCCTCAATAAATGTTGAATGAATGAATGAGCTATCAGTAGCTAGGCTAAGAGTAGGAAGAGGCTGGGTATGGCAGTGGAGTGACACTTTATGCCAAAGGCCCTGCCTATTTTGAGGAGGGGAAAGGAGGTAACAAAAGCACCTCTGGGGGAAGGGAGACAATAAAGTATCACTTTATTCCTGACCATTTGGGGTCCATAGGCTAGGCGGTGAGGTGACACGGTAACGCACAGATAGCTTCCACACCGTTCTGCTACCTCCTTCATGTCTGCCCCCTACTCACATGCAAAGAAGCAGAACCAAGATTACAAATTCATGTTTCCTGAGTTCCTTTGGTCCATTATTTTCCACTGGCACCACACAGCCAGGAATCTTCAGTGGCTGAAGCTTCACTTAAAGCAGTGAGGTCTGCCAGGCTGGCTGGTTTTTCCCGTGTGAGTCCCAGGGGGTTACTGCCTTGGGATAGAACCTTATTTGAGAAGACCCCCGGTTTCTGTCTCAGAAGAAACAAGCGATTTCATGCAAGTAGGGACCAGGCTCAACCCTAGAATCATGGTCCTCTAAGTCACTGGGCTCTGGGAGAGCTGGCTGAACTACTGGAAGAGGCACTAAAACACTTGATAGAATCCAGGCCTCGGAATGAATTCCAACACTCACGAAGCATCCTGAAGTGGGGTCAATGGTTGCAGAGTATTGGTCAAAATGTCTGCAATCTTTGGCTTTTTTAATCAAATGTTTTTGTGTGTATATATAGAAACATATGAGGTAATGAATTAACATGTATATATAAAACATAATATAAATAGTGTGTATGTAAATAATATGGTAGTCTCCAAAGATGGCCACTATTATTATTTCTTTCCATGTACCAGCATGCTACTCCAGTCATCAGAGTGGAGTCTCTTTTTTCTCCTCTTGGAGATGGTTCGGTCTCATGTCTTATTTGACTAGGAGAATGTGGTAGAAGTAATACTGTGCCCAGTTCCTGGTCTAGCTTTTTCAGAGGCCTCAAAGCACCTGCGTTTTCTCAGGGGCAGCCAGCTACCATGTAAGAAGTCCGACTATTCTAAGACCACCATGCTGTGAGGATGCCCAAGCTAGCCCCGTGGAAAGGCCATGTAGAGGAGAATCCAGTGTCCCAGTAGACAGTGAGAACTGAGGCCCCAGGTACAGGAGCCCAGTCAAGACATCCTGACCAGTCCCCAGCTGTTTGAGTCATGCCAGCTGAGGCCCCGGAGATCATGGAGCAGAGGCAAGTCATCCATACTGTGTTGGGATTCCTGACCCACAGAATCACAAGCAAGGAAAATGATGGTTGTTTTAAGCCATTAAGTTTGAGGGTGGTTCTGTAACAGTGGAAAACAGAAACAACAGAATGTGTGGCAGTGAGAGATATAGTGCGGTGTCAGGCCCATGGAGCCTGGATAAAGGCTGCCCAGGTACCAGCTGTATGACCTTAAGCATGTCACCGAACGTCTCTGTATTTCAGTTTCCTTTCCTCCAAAACAGGGTGGATAATATGTCAAATCAGAAATGTGATGATTGAGGCCATGCATGTAAAGCCCTTTGAACTGTGCCTGGCACATAATAAGTTCTCTGTAAGTGTTAGCTATCTTTGTCATCACGATGATGATGTATAATTTGCATTATGGGTCAATCTGTTTCATGCGTATTTAACTCTCTTTTGTCCCTGGGACCGCTGAGAAACAAAAAGAAGCCGCGTAGGACAAAGAAAAGTACTGCCTCTCTAGCTACCAACATAAGGCTTTTGCACGTGGTGCGCAGTTGGAATTTGGGAATTTAATTGAAGGCCCCAAATCATTTCTGGCTGACATAGGAAAGAATCAAAGGATTGTGTGTGCCCCTTTTCCCCATCGAATTTTCCTCTGTATTTCCATTTGCGTAGGCAAACGTTCAACTTTGCATTCCTTAAGCGCACAGCCACAGGCTGTCATGGGAGTGTGGGGGGTGGGGACAGCTCAGAAACCAGCTGGAAGGCAGGGGAAAACCAACTTAGAGAAAGACATCATCCTCAGATAATCCGTGAAGAGGATAAATCACAGGAGGAATCAAGGGTTGACTTGAGTAAATTACCACTTCCCAAGCACTCCCAGTGGCCTGAAAAGTCCATGCATCCTCTCCAAGTACCTACCTCTGCCGGAGAGGAGTAGTGTGGGCCCTGGGAGGATTGGCTTCAATATAAAATAGATAATAAGTATTTCCACCCTTCTTGTCACTATCATGGAAATGTAAGCTGCCAAGGCGGAGGGGAGGTGGGTGTGAAGCGTTCATCTGACTAATCTGTAAATCAGCATGATGCAGCCTGGGCCCAGGTAGTAGGAGGCAAGTTGGAGGAAAGAGCTGGGGCCCTGAACAACACTTGCAAGTGGAGGTTGGGAGGCTCCCCAAGAGGCACAGGGGACATGGCCGGAGCTGGAGGTCAGCAAGAGGGGGAGAGGTGGAGTAAGATGTTAAGGTAGGCAAAGTCCTCCCCCCGACTTTTCCGTCCCCTCTTACCGCTTGCATCTGTTCCCCTCATTTCCCCACCGCCTCCTCAGTTCCCATGCAGATTGCACAGACCTCTCGTTGGTGCTCCTGAAACACCAAAATAATCAGCCCCCCAACTTGGGCCAGCCCCCTCCCCATGTATTCAAAACTGCCATTCCCCTGAATTGCTGAGCCCCTTCTAATCGAAGCCCCGAGAGAACGGCCAGGTCAGAGACGCATGAAAGAGCTAGCTGCCTGTGAGGGAGGCCCGTGAGGGGGGAGAGGCGATGGAAGCAGGAGAGTCCTGGCACCCAGCTGCTGCCGGGAGTGGCAGGGCGGGGAGTGGTGGACGGGATAGTTTGGGCAGCTGCCTGGCTACTGGATCCCACCCGACTTTCCACAGACCGCCCAGGGCTTCAGGGAGCCGGGGAGGGGTTGTTGCTAGTACATGCCAGGCTTGCAGGATGGGAAGGGGGAAGGGGCAGTGCAGAGTGTGCCGGAACGGAAAAAACCAACAGAAAGCCCTCTCCCTAGGGGAGCTGCCAATTGCTGTGTCGCTTGACTCTGCTTTCCAACAGGGGCACTGTCTGCCGGGCATATGATGTTGCAAGGATCAAAAATAGCCTCTGGTAACTGCAAGAGGATCTGTTTATAGAGCTCCAGCCTTCACACCACCTGTGAGTTACAGCCAACCAAGCCCTCTTTTCTAAAGAACGAATTCGTTCTTTCTCTGAAGGGCCCACTGGCCACAATAGGTGGATGCTTTTCTGCACTCCCCATCCCTCCCTCACCCGCAGGCTCACCAGCGCCTGCCTGCCCTGGGTGTGCCCTCAGGCTCTGCTGAGCACTTCTTCTTGGCCTCCTCTCAGCAAAGTTTACTTATTCTGTGTCCCATTCTCTCCCGTGCTCTCTCTCTTTTGCTGGAGACTAGCTAAGTTACTTGAACAATGTTAGCAATCCTGAATTCCTTCCAAAGTCCTTCTGCTGCAGACCCTCTCCCCTTCGTGTTCCTGGAAACCAGTAGAATGGACTGCCCCTCCCAAGTTAGCACGTTTTCATTTTGAAAGGGGAAGGCTACTTTCTTTAAACTGAGAAGTGACAGTGTGAATTTCAGACAGGCAGGTCCCAGGAAAGCTATTTTTGAGGCATACGGGCTTTCTGTTGGCAATCTGTCTCACCCATCAGTGCTGGCAGCTACAAACCCTGCCTATGTGGAAGACCAGCCTTGTGCCCTTAGGGTAGGGGTCAGAGACACAGACCTAGTGACTACAGGAGCCTGGTAGGCAACTGAAATAAATCTAGTGGTTGGGGTACACTAGTCTTTGTGGCAAACTAGAGAGCACATACCCATCTGAATTATGAAAATAGCAGTGCAGAGGGAGATAACAAACTGCAAATGACAGGCCGCCTCCTTGCCTGGCGGAGAAGAGGAAGTGGTGGGTCGGAGGTGCCCACGTGGCTGCAGGTCAGACTGCACGCCTAGAGTTGGCAGAGCTTCTGCATTTGCAAGAGAAACTGAAACAGCTGATGTTTTGAAATGCAAAATATCCTTGTTTTTTAAAATATTTTCCAATTGCCAAAAAAATAATTCTGAAATATTGTGCATGCCAAACAAAACACATCTTCGGGATGCATGCAGTCTGCGGGCCTCTCTTGGTGGAGGCCATCCCAATATACGACCCCAGGCATTGAATCAGAACAGAATATTTAAGCTTGCGTGACCTTTGGCCTGGTGCTGATTATATGTTCAGGAATAAGAAGGAGAGAGAGAGAGAGAGGGAGAGAGAAACCAACCTAGAGATAACTTCTTTACCTTTTTTGTTTTTGTTTTTTTTTAATATCTTTATTGGAGTATAATTGCTTTACAATGGTGTGTTAGTTTCTGCTTTATAACAAAGTGAATCAGTTATACATATACATATGTTCCCATAGCTCTTCCCTCTTGCATCTCCCTCCCTCCCACCCTCCCTATCCCACCCCTCTAG